ATTTATGGAAATGGACTAATTTAAGCTATAAGCACAGTTAGCAAAAAGCCTGCCACGGCCATACAGTTTGTAAGCAATATAAGTCTCTGTGTTTACTTGGTTGGGTCTGAGCGGCTGTGGGACTGGCGGGTGACAAAGATTTGTCCTGACTGTGGGCAAGGCGGGAAAACTCTAGCAATAGGCAAGGCAACCAAATTAAGAATGATGAGAAGGAGAAGGGCAGAGTCAGGAGTTGTCAGCCAGACACAGAGGGAGCAAGAGATGAACATGCCATGCTAATAAAGGTACTGCCACATGTCAAAGCATAAATAAGGAATGTGGTTAACCTAAGATGTAAGAGCTAGTTAGTAATAAGCCTGAGCTACTGACTAAGCATTTTATAATTCATATTCAGCCTCTGAGTCAGTTATTTGGGACCAGGTGGTCAGGACAGAGAAACAACCATTTACAATAAAGTATTACAATTATACTAGATTCACATTGGAGACAAATAAGGACTATGTGTCCTCAAGATACCCCCAGTGCTAACTGCTTGCTGCTCACACATCCCTCTCACAACCATTTTGTTCTGCTCCAGGGTCCACTGTAGTCAATGTTGGGTACCTCTGGTTGTTCTGCAATATCTCTAAGCTCCCTCAAATGTGCCACACATGCTCTGGCATGGATCATGCACGATACAGCCTTGGCCTGGATCCCTCTCTGTTCCCCAACGCTTTACATGTTGATGCCTCCCACTTTCTATAGATCATAGTGCCGGCACCTCACTCTGCTTATTCAGATAAGTTGCAGATCAACCCATCAACAATTTGTTTTGAGTGTGGTTCCAGGCACTGAGGACGGAGAAAGCCCAGACTAAGCTCTCCCTCTTGGCAGCTCTAAGTGAAACTGAAAGTGTTTGTGTGAGTGAGCATCCACTCAGGTTAGATCATGGTGAACCCAACCAAGTGGATGGACCCCTGCTGGTGGGATGGAGCATGGCACCCTCTGGGAGTGACGGCAAGCTGACTGAGGAGCATGAGAGGAAACCTCACAAAAGCTTTCCCCAGCCATCCTCCTCTGACTAAGTCACTTTCCTGTGACAAACCTTTGGTGACATCAGGGCCTTCTGCACAGCTTGCTGTCATCCTAATCTTCATTCTTTAGTGCAATCTTGTCATCAATGTCTGACCCTCCCTCTGGACTAATGCCAGGGGGCCTCTATCCATATCATAACCCAAGACATGGGCTAGAGCAGTGCTCACTATTTTTTTTTTTTTTTTTTTTGCCAAATGACAAATAAATTAACACACAGACAATGCCCTTCGCCCCACCCAAGAGAATATTCATCATGTGCTGGCATCTTGTGTGGCATGAGTCTATTCAGTGCCAACTCTGGCTAGAGACAGCCCCTGGGGCAGCAGGCTAAACCACACACAAATAGGGACCATAGAGAGAGATCGACCCCCAGGGTTTCCACCTGGCCATATCCGGCAATGTCTTTTGGTGAACATCATGTTCCAAGGAGGAGACAGATCAAAGAGGATGGAGAAAGTGAGGAGGCAGAGTCAAGCAGGAGCAGACAGAAGGCCCGAGAGTGCCTCCTCAGGATGGATAGTTCAGACAGACTTAATATCACAATATCCCGGAGGCTTCCCACCTCTTCCTCTAGCTGCTGCAACTTCTCAGGATTCTGCATCACCTCTACCCTCTCGCCTCAGCTCCAGTTAACAGTTCGATGCTTTATCTCCATGTGACCAACTCTCTTTCAACTTTACGTACTTTCCAATATGACCTCCACGGCTGTTTGTTACAAGACCTGCCCTTCCATTGGGAACATCTCTTAGCTGTGCACTCCTTCCCCACGCTTCTGATGATTGTTCTTGGAATGTTAATTCCCCGGCATAATATCACCCCTCTGCAACCTTCTGCTAAAGTCTCAATCTATCTTTCAAGACTCTGGGCATCCATAAAGCCCTTCCTTCCTCCAGCCCTACGCTACAAGTGCTCTCTACATTTATGAATTTCCTGGGCAGGTAGAGATACTAGATGAAGTAACAGGATCTCTCCTTTGGATCACCAGCTGCTGAAGGGAAGAAGTGTCTTATTCTGCATAGTGGCTGCTTGATAAAGACCCCTTGGAAAGCAGCGCCATTCTTTACAGAAAGAAACTGCCATGTCCCTCCACTTGGGGATTCTGTGTAACTGGAGTCCTTCTGAAACCAGGAAGCTACCTGGCAAGACACAATCTCCTTGTAACAGAGGGTAGCAGGCAAAGGGATCTGGAAACAGCAGCCATGCCAAATTAGCCTCAGTCACTGAGCTGTTAGAACCACGTTTCAATGGTGATCAAGTTAAGTTCATGAGGACTAGAATATCTTGTGGTACCGGATATGGATAGCTGAAAATGAACGGCCTCCCAAAGATGTTCACCTAATCCCAGCACCTGTGAGCATTACTGTACTTGCCTAACAAAAGAGATTCTGATTATTTTATTAAATTAAAGATCTTGAGGTGAATCGAGTATCCTGAATTAACCAAACAGGAGGGACTGATTATTGCAAATGTCCTTGTAAAGGAGAGACAGAGATCAGAATGAGCAGCTGGAGCTCTGAGGATGGAAGAGGCTGGGGTCATGCAAGGAAAGAGCCACTAGCCAAGTAGTGAGGGCATCCCCAGAGGCTAGAGGGGGCCTTCAGAAGGAACAAGCCCTACCAACACTTAACAACCAATAGGGCTGATTTGGGCTCTCTCACTTCCAAAGTTTAGGAAAATAAACTCGTGGGGATTCTATGCTTTTATATTTGCTATCACTTATTTTACAGTTATATCTCATTTGTGATCATTATTGTGATAATAATTTGTGATAAATTATTAATAACAGCAAGAGACAAATCACTATAAAAGGCAACCAGTGGTGCAGGGAACACCGTCTCCTGTTAGAGCCACTCTGGCTTAACCCCAGGTGGCTGTGTTCTGGACTGCTGCATAGCAACCCAGCAGCAGGAGGCTTACCTGGGGTGAGAGGTTGGGGGTGAGGGGACAGGAAGGCAGTGGCCAAAGGCCA